ACAGAAGCTGGCCAGCAGATCCTGTGGAAGGTTTAATTTCCTGAATTGCAGCAGAAAGTGCAGAACTCATCTGCTCAACAGTTTTAATCCCAGACAGCTCTTTGTAGAGATAGTCTACTCTGACCTTTTCTAACATAGAAGGTATTCACAGATCAGTACTTCTATGCTTCTTTCTGTACGTCTTCCGTCTCCTTGAACCTCAGTCGGCCTTGGCAGATGGCCGCTCTCACTGAGCTTGGTTCTGCTGTAGGTTTCTTCCATTAAAAGGTAGTTTTCCTCTCCACTGTCGCTACAAGCATGCTTGTAGTGAGGGATTGCCTTCGAGTCAATGAGTCGATGCAATCAACTGGTTTTCTTTAGAAAACGTAGAACTAATCTGCCTGTTGATCTGGCTGAATTGTCTCTGTAAAGTGCCTTGTGACATGTATAAATAAACTGAATTGAATTATCTGCTGTGCCTTCTTATCTGCGAGAACCAACTCTGGTCCCTAGAAATAGTTGTTCCGAGGAACCGAATGTTGGTGGTGTTCTTAGGAAATCTGTAAATCAAATCGTTACCAACCTGGATGGAAGTCGTTTCTGTAAAGTTCATTTTAACAGGCGGATCCACTGAGGTAAAGTTATTTGTGTGCAGAGAAAAGAGGAGTGGGGAGAGAACGCATCCTTGCAGGACGCCGGTGTTAATGATTCTCGTGCAGAAGATGCTCCTCACCTTCACCTGCTGGTTAATCTGGAAGCTGGTGACAGGTAGAAGTTGGCACTGCCGTTAATGTTGCTAATGACTGAACTGACAAACAGATCTGGCCTTTGTGTTGGTTGGTGCAGGAAGAAGTGTAGACCCAATATTCCTTAATCGGCTGGACACATCTTCACCCATTAACAGCATCTGTAACGCAAAACATTTCTAAACTCCTTATTGGGTGAAAGAATGCATTTAAAATGACCTCATGCGTTAATAACTAAAGATGAGGTGTTTACATGTTTCATAAACCGGCTACCAGCACTGTTTTTGTGGCACCTCAGTGCAACGGAGGCCTGAGCTGATGTCAGCGCTGCAGTGGTGGAACAGAAACCCTCATTGACATCAGTGTGGTGGAATGATGACGTGTTTATATCAGAGTATTTCTCTGCCTGGGAATACACTCCCTTCGATTATTACATGTTCTGGTGTAGAAATCCATTTTCCTAAATCTGCCGAGTTGTAGATCACAGAAATGTGGAAAAGAAAGAAGCACATCGTTGAATTTGTATATTTATAAGACATGAGGCCAAATGAAGAGTAGACAGTGCTGGGAAGGCAGGGTCACTGGCCGGTTAGGGTTGCAGGTGGGAAAACTGGTGTTTGTGTGTCAGGATCATTTGTTGCTGCCCATGGAAATACAACATGCAGAGCCCAAGTAAACTAACCAAGGGTTTCTGCATGGGTCAGCGCAGTATAGAATATTTTAGAATAATGCATTTAATAAAGAGGTCTAATTATTGTTCTTTATATGGTGACCACAGAAGGATTCACTGCAACATGTGCTCTTTGTTTCCCCTTCTATCGAAAACAAGCTAGAATGATGGCACTCATGCTGACCCACCCTCCAGAGAAGCAATTAAATTTTACAACTAATCTAGCTCAAATTTATTGCAGAAAATTAGGGTATAAAAGTACCTATTGCTTTAAATGAGTGATAAGTTTACATTTGTCAGGTTGGGTGAAGGTTTGAAGAGGAAATGCAGAGACTGAAGCTGAAGTGGTTCTTGCAGATCTAATGACAAACATGATAACAGAAGCAAAAATCCCCTAACATAATTCACAAAATCCAGGAATACTTAAAAGGGGGGGAAGAAATTATGACAAACCAGCCAACAGTAACTATGAAGGAGGTGCATATATGGGAGAGAGAAACAAAGACCAGGCTAATCAGCAGATTGGGAGCAGGTGTGAACAGAGGAGACTAGAAGGGAGCTAGGAGAGGGAGACTGACACAAGAGGGCAAACAAGAAATACCTAAGAATTCAAATACAATCAATAATGACTGGATCAGCACAAATTGGAAATAAAACCATTGAAAGAACCAAAACCATGACAACGTTTAGCTGATGTTGCATGAAGATTGTTTATCAGGTAGTTTAGCTACAACATTAAGCTTTACACTCACCGGCCACTTTATTAGGTACACCTGTCCAACTGCTCGTTAACACTTAATTTCTAAGCAGCCAATCACATGGCGGCAACTCAGTGCATTTAGGCATGTAGACATGGTCAAGACAATCTCCTGCAGTTCAAACCGAGCATCAGTATGGGGAAGCAAGGTGATTTGAGTGACTTTGAATGTGGCATGATTGTTGGTGCCAGAAGGGCTGGTCTGAGTATTTGAGAAACTGCTGATCTACTGGGATTTTCACGCACAACCATCTCTAGGGTTTACAGAGAATGGTCCGAAAAAGAAAAAACCTCCAGTGAGCGGCAGTTTTGTGGGGGGAAATGCCTTGTTGATGCCAGAGGTCAGAGGAGAATGGCCAGACTGGTTCGAGCTGATGGAAGCGCAACAGTGACTCAAATAACCACCCGTTACAACCAAGGTGGGCAGAAGAGCATCTCTGAACGCACAGTACGTCGAACTTTGAGGCAGATGGGCTACAGCAGCAGAAGACCACACCGGGTGCCACTCCTTTCAGCTAAGAACAGGAAACTGAGGCTACAATTTGCACAAGCTCATCGAAATTGGACAATAGAAGATTGGAAAAACGTTGCCTGGTCTGATGAGTCTCGATTTCTGCTGCGACATTCGGATGGTAGGGTCAGAATTTGGCGTCTACAACATGAAAGCATGGATCCATCCTGCCTTGTATCAACGGTTCAGGCTGTTGGTGGTGGTGTCATGGTGTGGGGAATATTTTCTTGGCACTCTTTGGGCCCCTTGGTACCAATTGAGCATCGTTGCAACGCCACAGCCTACCTGAGTATTGTTGCTGACCATGTCCATCCCTTTATGATCACAATGTACCCAGCTTCTGATGGCTACTTTCAGCAGGATAATGCGCCATGTCATAAAGCTGGAATCATCTCAGACTGGTTTCTTGAACATGACAATGAGTTCACTGTACTCAAATGGCCTCCACAGTCACCAGATCTCAATCCAATAGAGCACCTTTGGGATGTGGTGGAACGGGAGATTCCCATCATGGATGTGCAGCCGACAAATCTGCGGCAACTGTGTGATGCCATCATGTCAATATGGACCAAACTCCCTGAGGAATGCTTCCAGCACCTTGTTGAATCTATGCCACGAAGAATTGAGGCAGTTCTGAAGGCAAAAGGGGGTCGAACCCGTTACTAGCATGGGGTACCTAATAAAGTGGCCGGTGAGTGTATGTTGGCTAATATAATAAAGACCATAGCAGTATTTTTATATAGATCATAGTTGTACCCAATTTGTTGTGGTTTTCCCAAATGATTTTTGAAGAAAAAAAATCTCAAACTATATGTTATATAATGAATGACAATCGACTAAATAAAATTTAACTGGTTTTTAGATTGTCTCAAACTCCTGAACATTCAGAGGTATATAACCCTAATAATTAACAGTAAAATTCCCTGTATTTGCAACAGGCTGCAAGTTGCATTTATCCCCAATCAATGCTGCAGCTGTGCCCGGTCCGTAGCAAAACACAATGCAAATACTGAAAAATGTACTTTATTCGATTGGCTTGAAATCTTTTTGACTTTATACAAATATAAGGAAGTTGGGGGTTTTGTTAATGTAACAAATTGGTTTGTCTAACCTAAACTATCTCTGAATAACAAATTCAAATGGAATCAGCATTGTTAATCTGATTGTCCATCCGTGGATTTCCATACGATTATTCATCCAACTAACTTCGAATTGTCCAGTTTATCCATGTCTGCATGTCTATATATAACTATATGATAGTTTTTTTATTTATTGATTGTGCAATATGCTAACTGTGCAATATGCTAACTGTGCAATATATGTGAATATAATAGTCATACCACTACCTCACCGTTGTCCCTTACCTACTACACTTTAATGTAAAAGTCAGTCCACCTGTATATAAGCCATCCTGATTGTACATATGTCACCTCAAATCTCTGTGTTATTCCCTTGTATTTTTAATTTTTTTTATTTCTTATTTTTTTATCTTATTTTTATTCCTAATGCACCTTTTCCTCCTTGTTTGCACCTTCTTAATTACCATGCCAATATGTGACCAGTGAATTTCTTCGCTGTGAGATCAACAAAGCTCATCTAATCTAATATCAGATCTGTTTGCTTTTCTATTAGGCTGCTTGTCATGAAACTTTGTCTTCAACCTTCAACATTAAGAAATCCAGCCTGAAAAAGTAAATTAGAATTAGAAAAAACCTTATTATTGCCCAAGAGGTAGGCAATTGTTTGCCACCAACCATTATCACATCACATACATTCAAACTAAAATATAAAAAAGAGCAGAGTATAATGAAAATGGCAATTTAATATTTTTTTAAAGTTTATTCTAAAAAGTAAGACCTAACATTTTTCCAGTCATGTTCCATCTGCGTATCTTACAAGAAGCCAGAGCGCCTTTGTCCTTTTTCCTGAAGTGGAGAACATGGCGACGCTTCCAGGGGCTCATACGCCAACCTCATGTTCACCTCAGGAGAAATAAGGCCGATGGGAAGAGGAGAGGACGAGATAAGGCGGCCAGGATCTTTTCATTACACGCCGTCATAAATCTGTCATCCACGAGGTCGGAGGCTGGCCTTTTAATGTTTCATGTCAGCCCACATCTTCATCCAAAATACATGAATCACTCAGCTTGCAGGGTTTACACTCTGGCTGAACATACCTAAAGCCACGTTTCCTGTATTTGTGTGCTTAGAATAACCCTCAGTGACTTCAGCAGGAGTCTAAACCCCAAGCGCTGTCAGTCAGCTCCCTGACAATTTAATAAACCTGACACCTGGACGACACATAGCACACATTCCTGCTGGCTGTTTATATCACTCTTAGGGGCAGAGCTCAGGTCTGCATGCATTTACACTTTCCAGCAGCCATTATCCTCCGGACGAGCTCATAGCCCAGTGGGAAGAGGTGGATAGAGCAGTCAGCTGGTATCTACATCAGCACACACCTGGAAGAAAGAAGAGCTGGAGATAAGGGGTGCAGATATTGGTCATATTCACCATATTGCTTAAAGGACAGAGCAGGGATTCAAGCTGGCAGAGGACAAAAAGGAGGCCTTGGTAAAGGAGCCGCAAGCTGGGATGGTGCGTGTGGAGGTGGAGCAGGACATCCCCATGTCGGTGGCTCTGCCAATAGAGCTGCAGCCGGATGCAGCTCACCAAGCCTTTCCCTTCCTGGACACCACGCTGGCTGATCTGGGCATCCAAGAGTGAGTCCACTATGTCAGATGCTGGCAGGTTCTCCTCTGTATCCTGAAGCTAGAGCGTCAAAGAGCTTGTGAACATGTGTGTCCAGGTCAGATGTGAAGGAGAGGGTTGTGTGGGTCGACACCAAGAAGACGCAGGTGAAGAACAGAACAGGGAAGCTGAAGGAGAAGGAAACCACCATCCTAGAGGCATGGGATCCTTTAGTGAGAAAGCGAATGGAGAAGTGTTGATGGAAGCTTAAAACTCTGTTTTTATGTTGCTTTAGGTTCGAGTCAAAGCCAAGAAGCCAGGAGACAAACAGCTGCAGGAGGTTCTGTACAGCACAGAGGCCCACACTGACCGCTCCTTCTGCAGGACGGGGGTGGACATCCAGCCCTGGAAGCAGACAAACCCAGGTCTGTATGCAGCTCTAGTCCTGCTACCATTAGAGCAGCAAAACTTTTGTTCTATAATAGATCAACCAAAAGAGCAGTTCATTTTATATTTAGATATAGGAGGCAGAAGAAACCTGGATGCTTGCTGAATATTATCGCACATAAAAAATGAATAGCATGCTGTTGCCAATTTGATTCAAAATATAGCTTATTCTATAAGAATCTGATATTCTTTTGTACAAAGCTTGTCCTGTACAAGTTGAAAAACGTAATAAAGATATGTAAAAAAAATTAATAAATATATATATATATAGGCTGTTAAGCCTCCTTTAAAGTGGTAATTACCTAACTGGTAAACAAAGTCCCCCTGAGTCTAATTAAATTAAAAGTTAGAAAACCTAAGACTATGTCAAATCCTGCCAAGGCGTTCTGTTTTTTCCACAGCTTCATGGTTTCTCTGGGGGAGCTGCAGTGATTCAGACAGATTAGCTTTTAGTCATGTAATTAACCTAGTTTGACTTCATGGAAAACTGGAAGAAATAAATTAAAAGAAAATGTAAATCCCTTTATAGTCCCACAATCAGGAAATTCCCTCTCTGCATTTTAAGCCCACTGCCCCCTTAGGGAGCAGTGGGCTGCCATTGTGTGGGGCCTGGGGAGCAGTGTGGGGTTAAGGATTTTGCTCAGGCACCCAGAGTGGAGGCTGTGGGGATTGAACCAGGTACTTGCAACCTTATTATGCTCTGGGATTGATAGCAGGAAATAGACTTCACATTACAGAGTGTCAGAAAGCCTAAAGAGGCAGAGCTAAAGTCATTTCCCTGTGGAAAGCTTGAGTTCATTTGCAAAACCAGGAAGGGAAAATAAATTCTCTATTTTTCATATTTGTAAAGCTTCTCCCTCTAGCTGGAACAGCACCCACAGGTTTAACCATGTATCATTCCCATTCCACATCATAATGATGCACAAATATAAAGGCTGTAAAAAATAATGAAGTTCAAGGTGTGTGATTGTTTAGAATTTGGTTTGAATACAGTCTCCATTTCTACAGGGAAGGTCAGACTGGACCCAGTGGAGATGACCATGGCGCTAGACCTGGAAAACCACCAGCCTGGGAACGCTGAGGCAGAGGATTAACGAGACATCTGATGTGGTGTACAAGAAATAAACCCAGAGTCACAACAGGAAATAGATTTATTAACAGAAACAGAACATGTTGACATGTTTTTAAAATGAACTGTGTAACAGTGAGGGATTGAAGGAGCTGAATTAACCAGAAACTTAAGATGGTTCGGCAATTGTTCTGTGTGTGAATCTGATCTTTTCCACTTTCTGCAAGACGTTTTAAAAAATGGACATTTTAGAGCATGAATTCATAGAATGACCAACAGAGGAATAAGAACGCTATTATTAACAGTAGAACAATTTTTTCCCCCCCATTTACTCTGCTGTTTTAAGGAGTCTTATACCATCAGTGGTGTAAAAGAATCTACAGATATCTGAAGATCTGAACTTTAGTTGGAAACGATGCAGGCACTTAAATGAGTTCAGAACAGAAATAACACAAATGAACCCAATCCTAAACTGCTTGGCTTATACAGAGAAGTTGACACTTTAAACCCACATTTATTTAGAGTTTAAATTACTTTATAATGTCAGAAGAAAACCAAAAACAGAACTTATGAGTTGTTAACATAAATGCTGAGAAGTAAATAAATTAGACACAGAACTTGTGAATGCAGTAAATAGAGTGGCTGAAGTGCTAAACATATCCCCTTCAGAGGAAACTAACGTCCCCGCTCTCGCCTACAGTATAAAATCCTGTTTGAAGGGAAGCAGAGTGCGTTCAGGCTATGATGAGCTGATGGCTACAGCCAGTTTGGCTTGCTGCTCTGCAGGGAGGGAGGCTGCTGCTGCTTGGAACTCTGCACCATGATCCTGGGCCAGTTCTTTCATTAGAGCAACAACAGTGCTCTGGGCTTCTGGGGGAGAAGATGAGAGACAAACTGAGAGTCTGTGTCGACAGCTAATCATTGAAGACAGATTAGTGTAACTCAGCAGAATACTGAAGAGCTCGCTGCAGATCCTGAATGCTCAGTGAGCAAAGCAGAGGAAGCTGTGGCGTATTTACTGATTTCCATGACTATAACTGCAGGGACTCACATTTACAATCATTCATGGAGAACAGAGATCACACATTTTTTTACCTTTATTGACTTCCTTGTGGCCAACAACATGACTTGAAGCAGCAACGATGGGCTTCATTAAATTCACTACCTAAATAAGAGGAGCATAGCAACAGTTGTTAGGGCTACAGACACTGTGAGAAAACAAGCCTTTTCATTCTATTCAAATTCTGCTGGGGCTAAAACTAATCATGCAGTGAGGTATTATATGTTTAACAGAATATTTCAATAAAATAATCAAACTGACTGACATGCAGTTGTGATTGTTTTGTATGGAGCTGCAATTAAAAATTATTTTGCAAATCGGTTAACCTGTAGATTATTTTTTCAATTAAGATTCAGGTAGCCAAACGTTCCTTAAAGAAGACTTTTTATGAAATCAATCCAGGCGAAACTAAAACTTTTCCCCTGGAGGAGTTCTGGATAGAGCATATTATCAGACAGAAATATATATATATTTTCTTTTTATCTTAAATGAAAATGAACTAATTGGGTTGCTCTGTCAGCTAAAGGCATGTTTAACAGTCTCTATACTCCAGTTAACATTTAGTCGATTACTAAATTAGTTGACAATTATTTCAATAACCAATTAATCACAATTAACTCAATTGATTTCAAATATACTTAATTGTTTCAGCCCTAGTTTTGTATAAAAGACTTGTAACTGTTCTAAGGTTCAACTCATCCATCCATCCTCTTCCGTTTATATCGGGTCTGGTTGTGGGAGTACCAGCTTCATTAGGTAGGCCCAGATGTCCCTCTCCCCAGCGACTTGAGCCAGCTGAGGAACATAGTCCCTGCAGCGAGTCCTGGGTCTCCCTTTGTGTCTCCTCCCTGTGGGATGGTCAGGAACACCTTAGCATGGAGGCGTCCAGGAGGCATCCTAACCAGATGCCTGAGCGAGCCACCTCAACTGGCTCCTCTCGATGTGGAGGAGCAGCAGCTCTACTCTCCTCCCTGGATGACTGAGCTCCTCACTCCATCTCTAAAGCCGAGCTTACACTGTGCAATTTTTTGCCCTTTTCGGGGCAACTTTCCAGTCGTGCAAGAATTTTTCTGTCGGCCTGACTTTCAGCCTGATCGTGCGTTGTGTGTCGTGTAGTGCAGTGTTTTTCAATCCCGGTCCTCAAGGCACCCTGCTCTGCATGTTTTGGATGTTTCTGAGGTTCAGCACACCTGATTCAGATGATTGCAGTTCAGCAAAGCCTGATAATCTGCTATCAATTGATATCAGGTGTGTGAAAGCTGGGAAACATCTAAAACATGCAGGGCAGGGTGCCTTGAGGACCAGGATTGAAAAACACTGGTGTAGTGTACAGGTGGGTAACGAGGGGCCATTAGCCTCTCACGACCACCTCCCGATCAGGATTCCTGAGGTCGGGAGAAAATCAAGTTGATTTTCAGTCAACCATCGTGCCCAAATCAGTCAGTGGGCAAAGAAGGATTCTTCTTCTTCTTCCTCTCAGATGGAAACACAGAAGCATGGTGGGGGTGCGAGTGAAATGGAGTTCTTTCTGTAAAATTGACAGAATCTAGTAGCCACGTTTGCTCAGCCATGTCTTTGTCCAAATACATGGTCTCTTTTTAGGGCTTTCAGCACAAATCTGCACGAATTGCCAAGGCAGCACGTTTGACTCTAGTGAGCTTCATATTCCTCTTCTACTGGCTTCCGGATAGACGAGTCCAAGTAGCTCCATCTCACTGTGGAGCTGAGTACGACATGGTTTTGAGACGTACAGTGTGAGCAGGTAGATCGCATCAGAGCGTCGGGTCGCACAGTGTGAGAACAAACATTGTGAACTGTGAACTCGCACTGTGATTTGTGAATAACACTCCAAGATACTTAAACTCTTCCACTAGGGGAAGTACATCCTGCCCAACCCAGAGAAGCCACTCTACTCCTTTTCCAGCTCGACTATGATCTCAGATTTGGAGCCACTGAATCTCATTTTAAAATAAGAAGGTTGAGAATCAGCTAGATGAAAGTAAACTGAACCAGAAACTGAAGCTCATCTGTAAAGATGTTTTAAAAGTGTTCGCCATGCTGAGTTAACTATTGGGCTTAAAGAACATTCAGCTGTGACGCATGCAGGTAGATGACCGACGTTTTTGGTTTACAAACAAATGGCTGATCATTAAAACCTATATGATTGGACACTAAAATAAGTCCAGTAACTCAGAGGGGGGGGTTTGCTTCAGGTCATTGCAGGCAGTAAAATTCCACAATGAAGAGTTTATTTTCTGATGAGAACTACTTCCTGTTCTAGAGGCTGAGTGGGAACTGAAAGCAGCTTTGTACATTACCAGGACAGGAGTGTGTTTGTAGATCATAGTCAGGCAGGTAAACACTGTCTGGTTCTCCTCCTGATCCTCTTTAAGTGGAAGATTGAACACCACAGCAGGCAGGACCTAGAATTTACAACATCCAATGTATGTTTGTTGGTTTTCTGCATGAATCTGAAGCAGGGCTTGCTAACAGTACCAAGGTGGAACCAACCTGGTCCAGAGGAACAGCATCCTTGTTACTCATGATCATCCTGCAGAGGGCAGCACACAGGTTGTCCCTCACCCTCGGGTCAGACTCCTTGGCCAGCATTTTTGAAAACACTGAAAGCATCATGGGATAATCTCTGTGTGGCATTTAGTTAAGGGTCCACTTGACATGTACGGCATGCAGAATCCAATAAGACAGCGAAGCTTAAAAGGATACGACGCGATGAGCGGACCAGCTCCCTGGGCCAGGCAGCCCAGCCCATATACGCTGTTGTTGCGAACCTCAGCATCTTGGTCCTTCACTCCAGCAACCAGCACAGGGAGCAGACCATTGGACAGCCGGCCTGCCAACCCCCGGCCTCCCGACACGTTCACCAGAGCGTGGAGGATTTCTCCAATCGTCCCAATAGAAAAGGACCGGTCAGCCACGGTGCAGGTGGATTTCTTTAAAGATTATAAAGAATATTAGCAAAAATATCAGCCGTTCTCAAATAAATGTCACCCATTTTCTAGGTGAAATCCTAGATAAAGTGTGAACTTCGGTGGTGCGCCGCAATGCTTTCAGACTCACAGTTTTGGTCATGAGCAGCGGCAGCAGATCATGAAGGTAAGGTGCAAACTGGTCTGCAGGAACACTAGAGGTCACCAAAGGAATCCCTTCTCCTGCATACTCCTGCAGCATAGCGTCATACTCTGCCTGAAACAAACAGTGAATCAGCATCTCTTTTCGTGTAAACAAGACAGCATTTGGACTGTCAGCATGTGGGGAAAATATAAAGAAATGCTAAAAAGAAAAATGCTCCAAATCCAGCATGTATTTATCAGTTGAGAACAATGATGGTGGAAGTACCTGTTGGTCTTCATCATCAGTTTCATCGTTGCCGCTGCCTTGGCAAATTGTCTAATATGGCCCCGAGAGAGCAAACAAAGGATGTTATTTCAATAAGATTCTTTATTTCGTCTTTTTTACCACTATATTTAGTTTAAAGACAGGAGGAGCAAAGCCCACTGCTCTTCCACCCACCTTCTTCCTGAGCACATCACGGATGAGAAGGCTGATCTCTTTGAGGTGGGATGGATTTCTGAAAACTTCCTCCTTACAGGACTTGACCACACTGTTAATGGTTTCCAGGACGCCCATTACAACCTGCCGCTCACGGTCGGTTCGCACAGCTGACACCAAGCGTGGCAGCACCACGTTCAGCATGTTCAGCAGGGCTGGGATGGGGAAAAGCAAGGAATGTCATTCTTAATGAGTAGAGCAGGGAGCGCGTGTTAACCTAATAACATCCAGTATTACCCTGGTGGTTGATCTCAGAGGGATTCTCAGTCCAAACTTTGTGCTGAGCTTGACAGAACTGACCCAGAGCACCCAGCGCTGCCCTGCGGACGTCCTCATGAGGAAACTGTGGATGGAAGGAACATAGCAGTAGGGCTGTTCAGAGCAAATCCCAACATGGCAGCCCAGATACAAAAAAAAACATGTAGGATCACCTGAGGAATACAAAGCTGGACAAAACGGCAGCTAAAGGAAATACATCTGATGTTCATAAATAATGGTGAAAACAAAATTGTTGGACACACTTAAGTATGGCGGAAGATCTGTCATTCTAAGTAATTCTTAAGTAATTTCCCTCTGGGATTATTAAAGTATTTCTGATTCTGTGGACCTGATTCTGTTTAAAAAGCCCCAGCAACCTTATTAAGAGTGCATTGAAATGTGATCTAATTATGAACTTTTAATGCATTACACTAAAAATGTCTTTGCCTTACAGATATCAGCCTGATTACAAGCCCGACATGTTTTCAAATTTAAAAAGACAACATGAAGTGCAGTAAGTCTGGTTCTAACTTTGTTTTAGATGTGTGCTGCTAAAGAGCTGCACTGCATCTGTAAACCAGAGCTCAATGATAACCAGAGCTCAACGATGCACACTTCCAGAAGAACTGAACATAACAGGTTCCTTCTCTGCTATATTTTGAGTTTTGATTTTAATAAAGGATGAAACGCATAAAAATATATATTAAAACAGGATCTTAAACCATTTTATTGTAGCGCTTCCTGTACATGACCTAAAATAATAAAGGAAATGCTAACACAGTCCTGTATGTCAAAAGCTATTTCCTTCCCTTCTTATTTAAGTGTTAAATATGCATGACAATGTCTCTATAGGTTAGTTTGTACCCTCACCCTCTATTAGCTGGGACAGACTCCATCCTCAAATCTTAACAGGATACGAGTAAACAGAAGGTAATGGATGATAACATAGACCAGCTGTGACACGGCATGACCATCACATGATCACAGGGACTTACTTCTGTCATCTCAAGGACCTGCTGGAAACTGGATTCCAGGAAAGGCTGGAAGGCAACACTGTGAGGAGATCCCAGAACAACAAGAGATAAATATTCCACACAAACACCCACAGAATTCTGGGTTTAGGGAAAAATGAAAATAAATATTTAAAAAGGTACAGAAGGAAATGGAAATGAGCTACCCTGTGCTTAAGGCGATCTCTCCCAGGGCGTCACAGGCATCCTCCTTCTCATTGATGTAGGCGTTTTCCACACTGAACCTGTAACAAACCAAGCTGCATGGTAGTGATCCCCTCCTGAGCAGCAGGACCCGATGGCAGCATGACATGCAGCAGAACCCACCCTGCTACGTCATGGACATCTGTCTCTGATTCATCTTCCAAGGGGTCCTCTTCAGCCTCCTTCCCTTCTTTGCTTGCATCGTCGTCATCATCCTCATCCTCATCATCAAGCAGAACAAAGGTCTTGTCCTCTTCAAGGTGGGCCTGGAAATTATTTGTTTTAAATTTAATGCAAAGTATACCTGCAGCGGGATGCATGTTTGATTGTGTGTGCTTTGTACCATGATTCCTTCTTTGGATTTCAGGGCGAGCTGCATCACAGTCGTTATGGCGGTGAGGTGAGGAGTCAGGCTTTCAGGGCAGACTGTGGACACGGCCGAATACAGACCATACCTGATCGTAAAGACAGAAGAAGAAGAAAAAAAAAAACCTGTAGCGCAGAAATCCTTTCAGGGTTTAACCATGAGCCAAAACAATTAAATACAAAAATCACAATTTGAATTAGTGCATGTCAACATTATTCAATTCAAATATTTATTTCATTCACTAAATATTGAAAATAAATTGTGAATGAAAAGGAGCAGGAGGAAGTATAAACCTATAATATCTGCTCTCTATTCACATCAATAAATGTTCAGTGGGCCCCAGTAAAAGAACTAATGACCTACGTGCATCGTCTCAGGTCTGGATCGTCGATGGCATCAGTCAGGTTGAGGCCTAGCTGAATGCATTCTGGAGCAAGAGGACTGAACACGTCTTTGCCAATAGTGCGGGCCAGAACCGACAGAGTAACTGCAAACAGAAACAAGGAAGGATCATCCTCTATACTGGCATTCACATTGTGACAACCTGCTTGTTGCACAGAGCTGGCTGCACCGTTATTCATAAATCCTCCTGCGTGTTCACAGCTCAAGACACGCCTTCTTTACGCCCACTGAACACATGCACTTACCTGATTGGTCCGCTGTTAAAGTTTGAAAATGTCAGTGTCTCAGCAGACAGCGTAACAGAAACAACTGCTGCTACTACGTCTGCATATTCCGTTCTGTCGACCAGTAACAAAGTCTGTCCGAGGCTGTTTAATCCCTCGTGCTTTCAGTATTTTGCCTCTGTTCTGGATACCACCGCTCATTAACAAAAAGGAGAAAATCAAACAAACTTCATTCTGTGCTCCTGCCGTGCCGACGTGTCACCACAATTACCCGGAAGCCGGTGACGTCACAGCTAAAGATCCTCCGTAAGTGCTATACTTACTGAAAATATAAATTAATAATTTTGCCCCGTTACAAAAAATAAAATAAATTTTAAATATATTCATCTAGTGAAACCAACAACAGAAAACCTGTTCCAGCTCCTGCCTCTGAACAAGATTTGTTTTTCATCTGACCTGTAAGTCCATTCTATGTATGTTTGTTTGTTGTGTTTTTTATGCAATTGTAGGACTTTTGTTGTGTATAGGCTATTATTTATTTATTTTTTTCTCTTGTTTATTCACAGCTCTTGCTGTGGGGCAATTTATATTGGAGCCCTTCTACCTTGGATAAAAATGGACATTTATTTTGTGGGGAAGAATTTTGTGATTATTTTTTGACGGCTATATATTTATTTTTCTTTTTGAAATACAAGGACTGTTGAGCCTAATTTTTTGTTGGTCTATTTGTGAAAAGTTTTCATTCATTATTTGAAAGGGTCTACACACAGAAGTGTATGATCCTTGTGTGACTGGTTTAAAAATATATATATATGTTTATCCTACTTGTCAGGAGGGATACCTGACTGGCACCGCTAAAACAGTGACAAACACCCAGTAAAAAAAAAGAAACTAAAACTAAATTAATTAAACTTGTACAACCGTCACAACATGAGTTTGTTTGCATCTTTGTTGGGTTAGAAACATTAAAGCAAAGCAGGTTTGTTTACCAAGGGACTGGTTCTGCAAGGGCATCATGTCATCTGTGGTGGCCACGAGGAAACGTTTCAGGCTTTCAATCACTGGAGGGAAATATGGAACCAGCAACTCCTTGGCTGCATTAGCTAAAAAAAACAAAACAAAAAAAAACAAATCTCTCCTTAAGATTATAATATCTAAAAACTTTGTGGTAGATCACAAAATGTCTGGCACACATTTTAATAATGTGATTTCCCACTACTTATGCATCTTTACAGACCTAAAGGTTAGTTTAAGGACTTCTTTTTTTATTCACATCAGCTCCAAATCAGGAAAGATATCACAGGTACAGAGACCATAAACATTGCTGATTAGAGAAGTGTAAAATGTCCAAACTATATTACTTGCTATAAGGCCGGTTTTCATTGCAAAGTGTTTTAAAGTTTGTTTTCATGCCATTTCTGTTTCAGAAAGTCTGACTGAATAATTCCTCACCAATGGCTCCTATAGCAGACACAGCCAGCTCCTTTATTTTCAGGTGTTCTGCATTGTTGAGAGCAGACAACATGGTGTGCATCAAGGTGGGAAGATATGGCTCAATATCAGATCCTGTTGAAAGAAAAATAATAAAACCGGAGCTTTTAGTAAATAAATGGTGCGTCAGATTAGGAAACAAAGTAACTCTGCAATCAGCAGCCGTTAAGGGTGATAACTGTTCTTACCCAGGTTCTCTGTGAAGCTTTCCAGGGCATAAAAAGCTTTGGTGACATGGCAGATCGAGTTCCTCGATTCTTCATTTAGGGATGAAAGGTATTCCAGCAGTAAAGGCATCACCTCTGCACAGTACTTACTGATCTCTGGCTAAAAGCCACAGGTTGACAAACAAAATTGGACATTTATTATTCAATCATCTCAAACATTTCCAAAACAACTTAGAGGTAATGGATTTCATCACCAGGCTGATGTTACACCTGTTACTGTGTTTTCAGATGAATTAAGTTTAGTAAATCCAATTTTTGCCTAATTTTATTAGTTTAATGGCATAGAGCACTCTTCTCAATCAAGAGAAAAACTAAAGCTTAAATGATCGACCTTCAGAGAAACTTGATGCATCTTTAAATACTAAAAACAAACGCCTTAGATTAATACAAACACTAGGTGAACAATTCACCTGATTCTCCAGATGTCATGTTAAAAATGTAGACAAGACATCAGCAGCTAAAGAACACGGTCAAGAGTTAAGCAGCATCCCTCTAAACCCAATGGAAAGACTAGTACCATTACCTAAACGTCCACATCTAAGTGTCACTGTTAATTAATAATATTCCATCTGTTCACCAAGTTTTAAGTTTTAGTTTAATTTATTGCATTTTTGCTCTTTTGTGTTTTTATTTTATTTACATATTTTCCAGCTGTTTCAGATTGAAAATTAGACGTCGATATTAGGAATTAAATCTCCACCACTAAGGTTGATTCGATACGCATCTGGATATACTAATACTGATACAATGCAGAATGTATTAGCTTAACCCATGAGGTTTCAATAGAGCAAAGCAATACATGTTTAAAAAATTTTTTTTTGAATTTTTGTCTCAATTTTGCCTATAGAAATTCTTCTGGAGATTCACTTCAACATCAGAGAAGATGAATACAAGGCAATATATTTCCAGGACTTGTTCTGATCTACAGAAGAGAAGTATTTGCAATAAAAACACAAAAAACAGCCAGAATATTGCAAATTAATAGAGAAATCATAGTAACTGTGGAAACTGCTAATAAATGAAAAACCTAATAAAGATTTACCACACTGGCTCTGTTTAACATTATACATGAAAGCAAATGATGATATTTAATGTGTGTAATGTAAATACTGGTAGGTATAAAATGACATCAATCTGGTGTTCGAATCATCTGCAACACTGAACAGAAATAGCACTCTGCATAAATAAGAATGAACAAGTAATACGCCTTTCATTTATGAATGAATTGGTTTGCTACGGCAGCAAACACCTGCATCTTCAGATTTCACGTCAATTATAAACCAGAGAGAGATATTGCTCTCCATTATCAAGATTAAACCAAAGGAAAAAAAAGTAGCCCTTCTTGGATTATTTCTTTATGCACCTGGATTAGACTTTGATGCACTACAGAATTAAGGAAATGTTACCCAACATTTTTACTGCATTAATTAAATAGACATTGATAGAACTAAGATACAGCTAATCTTGGTTCTTTTGAGTGACCGTATAATCCAGCTGGCTGACATATTTGTAATATTCTGCATAGAGGTCTGGGAAGGTAAAACTGCATTCAAATTCATTTTTAATTTGATTCAATATCAGACGGCACAGTCTGACATCTTGGTTTTATTTGGCACACACTGATAAAATTTTTTTTTTTTTGCACATTAAATAAACATTGTGAAGTTAATTTTCTTCTTTGTTGTTCTCCTCTGTAAAGTACATTGTCCTTCCATTTAATATGATCAAATTGATCTATTAGAGCAATATGACTCACTGGGTGGTTGAACCTGATAAAGGAACATCTTCCATGCATTTGTGACTCACCTGCAAATGTTCAGAGAATTGTCCCAGAGCAAAAAGGGCAGCGCTGCGCACCAGCCTATTGCTGTCAGAGAGACTCTGGCAGACAGTCTGCAGCACTGACTGGAGCATCCTAAAAAAAACACAGATCTGATTAGGCTATGCTCTAAATTAGTTTAACAGTCTGTGCATTTCCTATGTCCTAACATACTTGGAGCAAAGGTAGTCTGCACATCCCTCAGCCAGCACAGCAAGACACACGAGACCACCCTTCTTTTGATAAGGATCCTGGCTGGTTAGGCAGGCCTTAGTGAGGGGAAGCTAACACAGCAAAGGACTTATCAGAAACCAGATCCAGGAGTAAAAACTACAATATTGAAATAATAATGAACATCTTAATGACTTACAAGGTGATGAAAGAGTTTCTCTGGGGGCATATGGAGCGCCATAGTGTCGATCATCTGGGATAAAACACAAACATCTCATCAAATTCAAGCTTTTAAAACTCCCTCCCATATAAAAAGGATCAGATAAGTCGTCTCCACCTGAGCAGCGCTGTGTTTGGGGTTATCGCTTTCACTGGGCTCAACATCATCCTCCTCCTCGTCGTCTGGATCATGCTGGCCAGGAGAGGGCGCTGCAGTCAAAATGGGAAAAAGGTTCTGCAAGATGGGACCCAGCAGCTTCAGTCTCAGCACCGACTGCAAGAAGCAACAAAGAAATTAGGATATTAGATAAAGTAGAAGTCTTTTTATCTGAATAATATCTTATTTAAAAATGTAAAAAACAAAGTATTATAGTTGTAAAGGGAATGATGTAAAAGGTTATCACAAAAAAATCTGACAGATGTGGCATGTATATAGAGTTTCTGAAACAAATATTAAAAATCAGTTCTTCCTGCTTTATGGTGGGGGTGGGGGTTCCACCTACTTTACTCTTCAGCTTGATGAGGAAGGTGATACAGGAGAGTGCCTTCACGCGTAGAGCGTCATTCAATGTGGTGTCACTGCCCACCTGAACATAAACATTCATGAGAGAAATTCTCCTTTCATTCTTTAAAGTTTTCTGAGCTCTTTAAGAATTAAAATCATCTGACCGCCAGGCAGAAGTGGACGATGTCTGTAATGTGTGGAACTATGATGGTCACTTCAATCTCCATGAGCTCAATGAGCACCTCCATTGCTTCAGTGGCTTGCTCCTGAGCAGATGATTGTCCCAAACCAAATGAGTTCAAATATCTTATAGATCCACCACAGACTTTATCTGGAAAAGCTCAGTCAAGCAGTAAATATGCAGAGTAGAAGTTACCTGATTTGCCTTGATGAGGTGTTTTAGAGCATCGATCAGACTGGGAACGATGGCGCGCATTTCCTTCTGCAGAACAGTAAAGTGTTGCCATGGTTATTAACTGCTGACGGGTTTAAATCCTCACACTGACTGATCCTAGGAGGAGAACGGTGTCGCATGCTCACCACCTCTGCAGTGCCGGTGTAAATCACCATGGCATTTAGGGTGAGGATGCAGTAGTACAGCGCTGTGGGGTTGTTGTAGTCCTGCAGCAAAGTGTTGAACAGCTGCAGCAACTGGCAGTAGTGAGGCTTGAAAGGTTCAGGGTTGGACTCTATAACCTTATTCAGCAGCAGGAGGCCAACCTATCAGAGCAAGAGAGAGGAGACCAAACCTTAAACTACAGAACAGACCAGCTCAGTTAATGGAAACTAAAGCTGTTGGTGGGCACCTGTCTGTCATGGGGATTTGTGCTTTTGGTTGACTGGTTGAGAAGCTGCAGCAGAGCTGGCCAGCGGTCCGGTGTTTCATGCTTCACCATAGCTGCACACAGCTGGGAGAGAGAGTGCTGCACCTTGTGTCTGCAACACGTCAGGAGAAACAGCAGTTAGCTAGCTTATAGTAAAATAGATCATTTATTTCTGAGAAACATTAAGGTTCATCATACTGCTTACTCTGTTTCTGTGGTGAAGGCTTGAAGTACAACAGATTTGAGGCTGTAAGAAAAGACGAGACAACACAGTCACAACCTGACCTATATGATGTTGATTCTAGTATGACCACTTGACAGATGTTTGTTGTAAAGAGAAATAGAAGCTGACCTCTCTCTGTCATCAGGGCTGATCTTATTCCAATGTTTCTTCACTCTTAACCTCAGCAATACTGCAGCTGACTGGCGAATCTTCATACAAGCAGAAAAACAGACATTTCAAAGCTCTATCTTAAAGTCGTAGGGAAGCGGCTGTTCCAACCGTTGCATTTCCGAATTCTCCTGAGTGGTGCGCGACTTTACAAAAGTGAATAAAGTGAATGTGATTGGTCCTTTATCAAGGGGGCGGGATTATTGTGGTGAAAGGTTCGTAAGCATACTTGGTTGTAGCCCGTGTATTGGAAGAATCTTGCTAAGCAGTTGGCAACTTAGTGCTAGTAGGTTCCCAATGGGAAATTACATTCAGATCAAGTAGCACTAAATTGGTGACTTAGAAACGACACTGTAAAGGAATGCTATGGACAGCGGAAACATGCAAGAGGAGGAGAGTTTTGTGTGGGAGGTCGTGGATGAGTCTCCTCCGTCATGCATTTTATTTAGAGGAGGAAAGTGGGGACGAAGATGTTGTGGAAGAGGATGCCAGGGAGGCAGAAGCTTGGTTTGGTGTAGAAGGCTTACAGCTGTACACGTTTGAGCCCTTGCCTCGCAACGCTGCCAGTTCTATTAGCTCTAAGCCTGCGGAAGACACAGACCTCCATCCCCGTGAACACTGGGATGGAACTCAATGGGAAAGGAAATTATTCTTATTTCTTATTTCAACCATTGCATATATTAGCTGCAACATATGAATGAAGATGCTTTGACCGAAAAAATGTGATTGACAGATGACCGTTGACATATGATTGGTCGAATTTAGGTGTATAAGCTGACGTATAACTATATATACTATAACTAACTTCATGCAGATATAGTGAGATGCTAAATGACAGAATTCTGACACTCAGTCTCAGTGGGGTTTTTTTGCAACAAATTTATGTCATTTAAAGTCTAAAATCATGTCACTGGGACCATTTCCAGTTCCAGATATAAAAAGACTGAATTTTACAAACATTCTGCAAAACCTGTGATCAAAATCAGCTGTAATAGTTTAATACAGAATGGAATAGTTCTTTATAAATAATGCCTGGAACAACCAAACCACTTTGAACCACAAAAACAAGTCGTTTGAAAAACACAAATCACAGGGGGCTAACAAATAATGTTTCAGGTTACACACAACAGGAAACAATTATATAATACATGTGCACCTCAAATATGAACATTTGTAACCAAGTTAAATAACCTATAATGAATGTACTGGAAGCACGCCATATGAGCACCATGTCCTTTCATATTAATGATTGTAGATAGGCGATCAGGTTTGGGTGTTAAAGGAACCCAGTTTGCCAAAAATAGAACAGTTTCGGTTCATGTCCTGCATAACTTTGTTAATAATGGCCCTTGAAGCAACTTTTTGAGCTGCAAATCATGATGCACCTCTTTAATAACATTTTTCCTTTCGCATTAACTTTCTATCATCATGTCTGGATGCACCTCTCTGAACAGCCAGCTTTGTTATCAATGACAATAAGGTCTCTGCAGCACAACTGTCAGGTCAGCAGTCTCCTACCATGAGTGTGCAGTCGACCGTAACATGGCAGCTCAAGAATTTCATACAAAAAAATAAATAAAAATCACTTTGCTAAATTTGTAAAATCTAAACCTTCTGGGAAGCCGTATTGACCAAAATAATTAGTAAGAAGGCTTCAAATATCCGATTTGTATGTATATTTGTCTAAAATGGGTTTTATCCATACATTCACTGCTCTTAGTTATTGTGGCCTGTACACAAGCCAGAGTAAAGATAAAAACTGTAGAATCAAATACATTGATCTATAATATTATCCTTTATGTAGCTGCCATCAGTCAATATTTTAATATTTAGTTAAAGAGTTAATACCTACTAGTATCAAAATTAAACATTCAATCATAAATGAATAACTTTCAGTAAATTTATGTTGTTTATGTTTATATTAAAAGGCACATTAAAATGTAAGGAGGAACCTATGTTTTTGTTCCGCATGTCACGTTGTTGCCATGGGAAAGATTGATTGACACAATTTTTTTGTATCACTGGGACTGTTTTTCAAGAAGTTTCATCAGAAAGCTTTAAGACTGTTTTTGTGAGAAAAGCTGTATAAATGATCTTTATTCCTCTGGAGTTTATGCAGCCAATGAGGTACGACTTTAGTTTTACTTGTATTTATTTGTGTAAACCTTTATATTTGTCTTGAGCTAAGTTGGGTTTCTCTTTCCCTTCTTAGTTCTGAGGGCATTTTTGGGGGCTTTATAAGACGTGTCCATAATAAATAGCTATTAAAACCAAAAAAAAAAAAAAACGACATTGAGTTCCAATTGTTACTCCTGTCGAGATAATCAAGGCTCAACGTAATGTGCTTTTTGACCAATGTACATAAACAACATAAATTTACTGAAAGTTTTTTATCTATTTATGATTGAACGTTTAATTTCAATACTAGTAGGTATTAACTCTTGTTTTAACTATATATTAAAATATTTAAATGAGTTAATTCTGATGGCAGCTACACTTTACACCCCATTTTATACAATTAATTCTTATTTAACAAGGAAATGATTACATTTCCATCTCATATCCAAGTTACAGCACTTAACTGAAACAGAACCAAAAGTTTCTTACTGGATAAAGAGCAACGTGATCAATAGCTGTGCCTGTATAAAGCTCTGCCCTATATATAAATATCTATCTCACTACATACATGTTTTAATATGCAAAGATTAGTTTTTGTCTTTGTTCATAAATACAAGTGTGATCAAAGTAAAGTTATGATCAGGAGAAAAACAGCTTAAGAAAAGAGCAGTAAAATGTTAAAATGAGGATTCCTGCAGAGAGTTTGACCACCTGCCTCACCTCAGGGCTTTGGGAGCCTCTCATGACAGCACACAGGGCTGGTATTATGGTTGGGTCTTTGAAAGCCTGTTTCAGCTGGGCTGTGGCCTAAAAAAGGGAAAGGGGGGCGTCGTTAACAACAAAGCTCATTATTCCAACTCAACTTTAAACAAATAATTTACTGATATCAGAGAGTATCACTATTCAGCCCCTTCAGCACCGTCTGCCAGTTAAACTGCCATTCTATAACCTGAGCAATAACTTCTAACTGCTGTTACTAGTTATCTGGCTGCCCTCAACCCTAGCTAAAAATTAAAGAGCTAGCTTCTCTTTTTACCTGCTGAATAACGGCATTATCCGGCTGTGTCAGCTGTAATAGAAGTTGCTCAAGCTCCTCGATCATCCTGATAGCTTCGATCAACCTCCGCTTCTATCTCTAGGTGAACGTTAGAGTATAACTGTCGGTATAAAACACGGCAGGAAAGCTGATATTCTGTCCTTTGGCAGTGGCAGGGTGAGCGTCAGTCATGTAAACAAACTAGTTTTGTGTTCTTCTGAAAGCTAACTAGCTAATTTGTAGGTGGAAATGTAAAAAAGAAAATAGGAAAAATCGCGTCTGTCTGTATGAAACCGTTTAGTAGAAGTGACAGGTTGGACTCTCCGGTTCGGACCGTTTGGAAAGCCAGCCAGCACGCGGGACAGAACACCGGCCAGGAGTTCCATGTGAGCCGAATTAAAGTGACAGGAACCACTTTTAGATGGGGAAACAGCACCAACGGCTGGACCGGAGGATAAATGCATCACTAAACTACAGTCTAGTGCAGGGGTCACCAATTAAAAATCCGTGGACTCCGGATAAAGAAAATCATCATCCAGTAAAGGACCGGAGACATTTTTATTTATATGTTACTTTAAACAGAATTTAACACTGAAATAAAATGAGCCTTTTATGCATCCATGCAATAAATAGAATTTTTAAATAAAAAAAAATATGTATAAAAAGAAAATAGAAAATTTTTCCGTTTTAAAATCTATTTTTTTTTAAGTAGAGAACAACAATTCTTCAGCTTGGTATATAGACAATGTCCTGACTCACATATTCAATAAAACACTTGAATTGACCGTTTTTTTTTGTTTGTTTTTTATGGCTTAATGAGAGCAGTGGGCTTTAGGCTGCCCTGCAAGGCTTTAAACCTGGGTTTGAATGGAGACAAAGCCATTCTCAAGCCATTCCAGGCTCATTTGTGAGCTTATATATTCCCAAAAACTTCCATTTGAATGTTTCCAAGCAATACAAGGCCTTGTCTATATAAAGACTCAAACTCACTGCGGATCCAGACATTTGAATTGAGAAAGCTTCCTGGAGGGGTAGCGAAACGTCTTCAAATCTTGGAAACCAAATCCAGTGAATTGTTTTTTAAACTTTTACGGAATCCCAAAAACTAAGACCATTTGTTTCAAATGATTGGATGCAAACTACTGGTACTTCAACATACCAGGAAGCAGATTTTTCATCTCGATCAAAATATTTATTTTATACTAAGAGGCTTAAAAGTTTCATCAAAACAAGTCAAAACACTCAAGAGCGCCTCTCACAGCTTCAAAAGACACTTTTTATCTCAGGCCTGGATGAAGAGATGCTGAGTTTGGAAGCAGAGAAAAAACATATGATGATGGACGATCCTAGTTATCCCTGTTACAAAAATCCAAAACAAAATGAAAATATTTGGACAGGAACTGAACATATACTGGCTGGATGATGGTGGGGACTTTTTAAATGTGTCATATTAAATTAAGAGTTCATTTTACGCATGTTTTGCTCCTGAATTTAATGATAATATAGCTCATACTCTGCTTGAGCTCTGAGGAAGACGGGAGGAACAGCGGAGGCTGTAGGCTTTACTTTGAGCAGGCGGTCTGGAGCGGAGCGGAGAATGTGGGATTAGACAGCATCGTCGGGCAATATGCAATAATTTATAAATGTTTTAAATCAGGTTGGGTCTGGATCAGCCAGTAGGTGGGTCCGGATCCGGACCGCAGTCCGCTAATCCGTGACTTCTGATATAGACCTTTAGATATCTATGAAAAAATGGTGCCTGTGAAACTCTATCAGTAAATGTGAGACACGTTTTTAGAAAAGTATTCATACATTATAAACACACTCAACTGATAAAAAAATCTGGAAAAACTACCCATCTCAAGTGTTTTGATCACTTTTTGTGGCCACAGGTTAATGAAACCTGGCACCTCAGCATGCAGATACTGCTTCTGCAAACATTTGCGGAAGAAAGGGTCCATCTCAGGAGCTCAGAAGGTTCCAGGATGGTACTTTGGTAGAATGGGTCTTTGTAACATGAAATACACATTAAAATGCCTCATCCGAATAGTGTAAGTGCTGATCAACTGTTAGTGGTGTAATACTTTGGAAGATGCAGAGGTGCAGAGAATAATGATCGCAAACCTCCTGCAGAGTCAATAGTTACCACCCTTTTAGGCTTTATGTCGCCTTTAGATTAGCTCAGGTATTAATAGAGCCTAATGCGACAGGCTTCTGATGTCTAGCAGTTGCATCTAAGCCTACATGCTCCCCAAACTTTAATAGCTGGGCCGCCATTTTGCTTAGTAAAGTGTTTCTCCCGCCCCCTCCTAAACTACCCCTTGAATTTGAACCAGCACATGATTAAATAATGTAATAACTATGATCTCCTTAAAATAATTAAAAATACCACTCAAAGTGTAATTATAATAATTCAGATTATTTTACGGTATGATGGTATTCAACATTGGCTTCATTTAATAGACAAAAGAATGAATGACATTAAATGGGTCAATGGGAAACCCCTGGTGCAGTGCTCTCTGAGAACACGTCAGTATGCGGGTTTTAGACCAAGATGATGAAATACTTTGAACATCACATCAAGGATAAAAAAAGAGCATCAATAAATGTCCACAACCATGATATCAGAACTAGTGCAAACTATGTACTAAGTACTTCCACCTGAAATAATCCCTCACATTTAGAAAGAAAGAAAGAAAGAAAGAAAGAAAGCCTCTAGCAACGCAGCTCCTTGTATGTGGAATTTTTTACAAAGAAACTGGAAGTTGACTGAGTTTTAATCTTTAAATGCTTTTAAGTTGAAAGAGAAAGAATTTGAAGCAGCCTCAATGAGCTGTAATTGTTTTACTTGATGTGTTTTTTAATATACTTTTCATTTGATTTAATGGATCTAGGTTTCTTATGTAACTTTGCTGCATCTTGGCCAGGACTCCCTTAAAAAAGAGGTTTTTAATCTCTATGGGATGTTTTCCCTGCTTAAATAAAGGTTAAATAAAATAAAAATAAAACCTTCACTTATTATAAAAATTTTACTCCAGCATAACCCCCATGTCACAGACTCTGATAACACCGAACCAAAAATACAGCATATTTGCACCATATAATTTAATGCTATGAACTTCCATAACAATGCGTTTTTTTTGCACCATGTTTTTTCTTCCACACTGTTTACATTTGATCACTTCTGCACTTAAAGGAATGGAAACTTACTGCACTTACAGTCTGAAAAGCTGCACTAAACGAAATTTTCGTTTTTAATACACTATGTATACAAAACGACAATAAAAGTTGTCTAAATCTAAGTCTCTGGCCAAATTATTATCACCTTTTCACACATTCAAACAGAGAACTGGCAAAACTAATTAATCTATATATATCATTTGGCAAATTTCACATTTATAGAAGTACATTCAATTAAACTAAACCCTCTTTATTCGCGTTAGATACTGAAATAAAGAAATACGTATAGTCTGCAAATCAGATCAACGATAAACCAACTCCATTAAAATAAAACGGAAACTGATCCTTCATTTACCGCAAACACCAAATGAATCTCAAACCTTAAAGCCCTCACAACTTTATTAGCCCCTCAAATGCATTTATCAGTGTTGTTTTTGCAAATCTACTTCCTGTTTTTTATTATGTAGCTGAAATTACAGTAATATGAATGTCTCTTGTTCTATAAATATTGTAAATATATTTTCCTCTGCATTATGTGTAAATAATTTCTCAGTAAAAAAAAAAAAAAAACAGTTACAATTTACTATACATGCTCTCTCTACCTTCCAAAAGTACAGCCAGCTCATTTAGATTCAGCTGTAAATGAATGCATGCTGCTCAGTTAGAGAGCTGGGTGAATAAAATGCAAATGTGCATCTGGAGATTCTCCCTAATTCAGCCACATTTCCTGGAACTTCTCCTCTCAAACCCAGAACCTGTCTTCAAAAGCCACTTTGTAATCCACTCAGCACATACCGATGCTATTGTTCTGCACACCTGTACAACCGCTCCCTGCACCCACCTCCATCAGCTCCCCCTGCCGTCAGGGTTGGGCATGTCCAACATCAGACAGACTCCCCCCCCACCCTGCTACAGATCAGTTAGAAATGCTAATGTCCCCATTAAGGCTCAATCTTCTCACATCATCTCAGCACTAACTGAATCATTACCATGTCAACAGAGACGTGCAGGCAGAGCACAAACAACATTCAGGAGGTAATGCACAACCTGGTCGTCATCATCTTTGTGAAAAGACTTGCAGATGGGGAGAGCGGTCGTTTGCATGAACAAGTCCGGGACTGTGCAGGACAGAGGAGTTTGTGATTTGAAGGTGGAGTTCAGTGTCTGTCTGCCTCCCTTCCCTTGCTCAGTCTGAGTTGGTTGTAATGTTTGAGGGCCTGCCAAAAATACATATAATAGACACAATGCAGCCACAAACCAGAGATCAAAGTAGCAGGTTATTAAGAGTCTTCACCATCGCTGCACAATCTTTTTCTTTTTCTGATCTCTCCTGTTTTTCTTTAAAATAAATAAGAAACACATTCAGGTCATACTGGAGGAGGAACATCTGTTGATATGACTTTCAACACCGCAGCCTCTTCATTTCTTTTAGGTCTGGATGTTGACTGAACCATTATAACCTACTAGACCATTTATTTGTAGCTCTGAATTTATGCTTGGGGTCAGAATCCCTCCAACAAAACCACAGAACACAGAATTTTCCAATATTTTTCTATATTTAGCTTAATCAGTCTTTCATCTACCTTTATTGATGTTTTTCTCCAGGTTAAAGAAAAAAGCGTCCCCACAGCATGATCTTTTCTCCACCATGTTTCCTGATAGGACAGAGGGTTTAAATTCCATATAGCGTTTTAAATCTAGGCCAGTTTTACCCTCATCTGACCAGGGCCGGTTTCCTCCTCATGCTTAATTCAGACTTTAAAACAGTAGTTCTTCCTGTCAGGTTTTCTTTTAATAATTATTTGCTTTAATAAAGCCCAAATATTACTACTGATGCATAAAAATGTAACTAGGTGGTGGTGCTGGATTTTATTAAGGTAATAGGGCTGAACATAAATGCACAGGTGGCATTCCACTTTAGAATATGTCCTGCTTTGTGCTAGTATATTGACAAATCACGTTAAAATGTGTGCAATATTACAATGTGAAAAAAGGTTCATGGGGTAGTGAACAGTTAAAACAAAAAAACAAAGAAAATTCTGACTCAGACTTGGATGCTGAGCTTATTTCGTTCTAATCTGGGTCTAAACCCAATGAGAAAACTATTAATGATGCTGCCAAGACTCACAGCTAGACCTGCATGTCACTGAATCAGCAGTTTAATGTTCAGGAATACGCAGCTTGATTTGACCCAACATTTTTTGTTGTTTTGCTTAATTTCTCATTAAAAAAATTTAACAAAATGCAGATAAAGGCAAGAGAGTTTACAAAAAAAAAAAAAAAACACATTCATGATGTTAATAGGGTGTGGAACCTCAGCTGTGATAGGTGACGCAACTCAGCAAGGAGAAGGGCAAAAACACAATAAAAATAAACGTAATTATAAGATTCTTTTGAATAAAGGCATCATAATACTGCACTCTTTTCATCATGTTTCAGCAACCTTCCCTGATCTTTAGCAACTGAGTCAAGATCAGCTGTGGAGAGTAAAAAAAAAAATCAAGCAGTAGAAATATATTAAAAAAGAAATTATATTCTGTATATATTGCAAAAGAAACACATTGTTCCCACTTTTATATCTACAAATAATAATAATGGAACAATATGATCTAACAAAAACATTCAGTATGATGAGAGTTCTGAATTTTAGGAGGGCTGGATTAATGAGGCTCTAGAAGGAGTGAACACAGCAGCATGGAAGTGGTCCCTGATGGAAAATTACAAGCCTTTAGAATATATATTCTGAGATTAAAGTCAGAATTCTGAGATTAAAATCAGAATTCTGAGATTAAAGTCAGAATTCAGAATTCTGAGATTAAAGTCAGAATTCAGAATTCTGAGATTAAAGTCAGAATTCTGAGAAAAAAGTCAGAATCCTGAGATTAAAGTCAGAATTCTGAGATTAAAGTCAGAATTCTGAGATTAAAATCTGAATTCAGAATTCTGAGATTAAAGTCAGAATTCTGAGAAAAAAAGCCAGAATCCCGAGATTAAAGTCAGAATTCAGAATTCTGGGATAAAAGTCAGAATTCAGAATTCTGAGAAAAAAGTCAGAATCCTGAGATTAAAGTCAGAATTCTGAGGTTAAAGTAAGAATTCTAAGATTAAAGTCAGAATCCTGAGATTAAAGTCAGAATTCTGAGATTAAAGTAAGAATTCTAAGATTAAAGTCAGAATCCTAAAATTAAAGTCAGGATTCTGAGATTAAAGTCAGAATTTTGACTTTTTTGTCATATTATACTGAAATAAAATTTAAAAATCAGCGAATTTATTTTTTTTTCAGTGTCCCTAATCCTCTTCCGTATTTACCTGTTGGACAGAGGCGCAGATTGGTTGAGAGCAAAGCACCCGCTCAGCCCGGGGCCACGCCCACACAACGCTCTATAAACCCACACTGAGCAGCAGCCACTCCGCGCGCAAAATGTTTGAATGAGCACCGTGCCTGTTTTTCTTTTTGTAGAGATTTTTAGTATTCTCCCGATGTTTTACAAAGTCGCAGTTTTAGCTCTTTTACCAGCAAAGGTTTAGGTATTTTATTGCATTTCATTTTTTTAAATTTCGGCGCACAGGTAGCGGGAAAATGGCAGAGTGGAAGACGCAGGTGACCTACAGCTATAACCCGTCCTATCAGACCTACTACGGGGTTCTGTATCAGCCCATGGCGGGACAGAATCACCTGCCCGCCTGGAGCGATAGCGGACTCACCGACCTGAGCAGCTACAATGGCGGCGCTACGCAGAGCGTTACTACCGATATAAATACCACCATGACCGGCGAAGAGTCCCCTCCGCGCAGCCCCGAGAGCAGGAATTGCTACCCGGGAACCGAACTGTCTTATCTCCATGACAGCCATGAAGGGCAGCTAACGCTAGCTGCGCCGCCGGCGGAGATCTATGGAGGAGCGGGTGAAGTCAGACGGGCCAGGAGTGATTCAATCAGCGACTCTGAAGCGCACACTTCCCCTGGTAAGTGTTTCACGACATTTATTTTAAACCATACTCGCATATCCTTGAATATACGAGAAAAGTTCTTCCTCAAGGGTCGCACGGTAGGAATCCATGGTTCGTTAAATATGGCGGCACTCGGTGCGTAGAAAACCAAGGTGGCGCCATCTAGCGACTGAGCGACACGGCCGTAAATCATTTAATCGGTCTCCGCCAGTCACGTGACTTTTGTTGCTAAGACGCCATTTTAGTTGGAAAAGGTGTAGTGTAAACCATAGATATCCATAATAAATTATTATGGATATCTATGGTGTAAACAACCGCAGCATAGCTAAACGAAGGACTAAAGGCCTGTTTACATAGCAGCCTGTCCAAGATAAGTCATTACAGTTAACATAAGCCTGAAAACAGGGGCGGATTTAGGAAAATCGGTCTCCGCCAGTCACGTGACATTTGTTGCCAAGACGCCATTTTAAGTGGAAAAGGCATAGTGTACCGCGCCCGAGGTAAACAATTGACGTCACTTGGCGGAGACCGATTGATGATTTCAAATTTAAAACTCAAAATATACAAAGACGCGTTTGAAAACCAATTTCAAAAGCGTGTTATAATTTAATATTTTGAATTCTAATCAAATATTTATTGCAATTTCATTTTCTTAATACATTTATGTAGTAAAAAGTATATTTTTGTGTATAAACGTACCGAAAACGTGTTACTCTGAGTCTCTTCCACAAATACAAAGGAAAGAAAATATGTCGGAAAATATGTTCGATTGAGCAAGGTATTTAATTTTCTGCAAAAATTTTCAATTTTAGTTAAATATATAATTAAGTTATTTCAGCCATCAAATTTTATTTTTACTAATAGGCAGACCTTGTGCCCTTTTTTTTCTTTTTCCTCCATTTAGATTCTTGGAGCTCTGTGAGTAGCCGGGAAGGCAGCCTTCCGCATGTGGACCCCACCACCTGGGTGGAGAGGGGCGTCTGTGAGGAGCCGCTCATCAGGAGCCCAGGTGGCAGCGAAGATGTTTCCAGCTCCCTGGTGAACTCCCCCCAGAACCTGGTTGCTCAAGAGAACGAGGCCAACAATAGCCCCATCCATGCACAGGCTGCCTTTCCTGCCCCAAAGAAGAATTGCACTGCTACGTCCACCAATCCTAAAGCAAAGGTCCGATCAGCCTTCTCTGAGAGCCAGATGAACGCTCTCGTCCAGCGCTTCAGTGTTCAGAGGTACCTCACTCCAGCTGAGATGAAGAACCTGGCAGAAATGACTGGACTGACCTATAAACAGGTAAGGGGCGCTCAACAAGAGAAGAGCTAAGTATGTTTTAGTTTTTATACACTTTATAACAGTTATGTGTTTTGTAGGTGAAGACATGGTTTCAGAACCGGAGGATGAAGCTGAGGAGGCATCAGAAGGATACGAGCTGGGTGTCTGAGCGTTATTCCATCCGCAAGGAGAACTCGTATCACAGACCCGTCTTCTCCAACATGGCCTCACACATCCCACCTGTAAGTGGCTCTGTTAGTGTGGATCTGCTATGTTGGTGTCCACTAAGAGTTCCCTGTTTGAGATGTAACAGAGGGATAGCGATCCGGACACAGAACAATGCATCCATAATGGAGGTCTAACCGCAGTTATGGTTACGGCCTTAAAGGCGTGATGCAACACTACATACACGACACTGTTTTCAACATGCACATTTAAACACTTGGCTAATTTTTTCCCCCCCCATGTTTGTTTTTGTTGCAGTATCAAGCAGATGGCCACCCCCAGTTCAGGGGTCATTACAACCAGCACATCATGGAGGCAACTTTTAAGAAGACCTCACAGAACCTGGCCTACTACCTTGCTGCTGGATCTGCTCGGTATCCACCGTGGCCCACTAACGCGTCACAAGCAGTCATGCCCAACCGGCCCCATCCGGCTGGCTGGGCGGTGCCACAAGGAGGCGTTTCCTTTGATTACAACCCCTGCGCAAACAACTATGTACACGCCACTACTGCTGAGAGCAAGGACCGGGAGCCTGTCAGCAGCTCCATGAACACAGCTATGGTTCATGATAGGAACCAGTAGCTTCGTCTGTCCATCCAGCTCATGTTAATAGTTGTTTGCCGTCATTTGTAGTTAAACACAGCTTTATAAGCAGGGTGTGCATATGTTCTGGTCTGTTGGGGAGTTTTGTTTTTATATGAGACTATTTAACGTGTATCCTTTATGCTTCGTCATACCAGATGTTTCTGGTTTGGATGCACTTTGTTCCGCAAGTTTTTACAGATCATGCAAACAAGCTAACTTGACATGCACACTTATTGAAAGGAATTTCTTTAATAAATACAAGTTCTGTTTGCAAGTTGGAGGTGTTGTCTTTAATCAAACTGGCATAAAGCTTTTCTATAATCCAGTAAGATGGTTAATAAGAAGCAGAGCAGGTCCTGCTGGTGCTATTCTGGCCCCTTCATGTTCCCTTGGCAGTTTTCAGATATTTCCATATAAACTATTACCATTACCACACTTTTCAAAAAGAAAATATTAGAATCTAGCAAGTTCACTTTTTTTTTTAGCTTTTAAGTTTTTAAGCTTTCAAGTATTAGTATCCAACTGAACTGCAGTGTTTTTTGTTTTTTTTGTGGCAAAACTACATTATCAGGGTGATGTAAACATAATTTAGTTTTCAGTTTTAAGCCTGAAGGTAAAATGATTAGAAATTGCTTTAAATGTTTGTGCATAATTACATCATTTAAAACTCATATCTAATTTAATTTAGACCATCCCATTCCTTTAGTTCTGGATGTATAAAATGACAGCTGCAGTCCCTGTCTATGTGAATGTGTTGCTTTTAAAGAGTGAATTCTCCACATGAATAAACCCACGGAGCTATTTTCTTTGCTTTGTATTAAAAAGCACTTTATTGAAAAAGTATTTACATCAGAACCAAAGTCAATGGTGACCATACAGTACAATTACAATATTGCTCCCCTTCCCAACATTTAGCAAAAGCTCTTAAATCTACAAGGCATCATTTCTTCCAGCACAAAAAAACTTCATCTCCGTGCAAAACATTTCTTTTTTTGTAACGGGTTGTGGAAGTCGCTGCAAGTATCACTTGCACCACAGCATTTTATTCATGTTCTATAACGTTTAATGGCCAGCATAGTACAGCAAATAACAGGTTTTAGCTAGACCTGTTGATGCACTTTAAGTACCGGGTGATGCACACTAATGCATCATAGCTAGTTTTAGTCATGATGCTAGCAGAGAGCAATTGCGTCTTTTCCTCCTGCATCCCACATCCCAACACACATACTTTCCCTTATTCAACCAGAACCTGCATTCAGTTCATTATAAAACCCTTCATGAAAAGTCCAAGGCCCCTAGAACTTCTCCCATTCACACAACTGGAGATATGGAGTGAGAGAAGACACTGAAGTCTGTCGCTGCGTTTGTTTGTTTGGGGTCTCTGCAGTTCAATCCATTTTGAGGCTGCGGTAGATATAGCGAATAAATGCCAGCGATGCCCAGAACGACACGCTGCCCAGCATCAGCGAGAACACCATCGCTGTAAGCAGGGAGTATCCGAAGAACTCAGAGCTTTGCACCAGGCCGCTCATGGAGGAGCGGTTACGATAGTAGAAAACAGAATAGACAAAGATGAAGAGGCCCGTGGATCCGGTGCTCAGAACACTCCTCCACCACCACCTGTAGTCCTCGCCCGACAGCAGGAAGTAGGTCAGGGCTACGGAGATGCAGGCGCCCACCGAGAGGAGGATGGCGAAGACACAGAGCAGGATGCCGTAGAGGGTGTAGTGTTCTCGGCCCCAAACGGTGGCGAAGATATAGTAGAGTTCCACTGAGATGGCACTGAGGGAAGGTAGAGTTAAAATATAGATCAAAATGCAGGGATTAAACAATCCTAAATGCAATAATCTGTAAAGGCAGATTATTCTAATAGAAAAGAATATGAAATAATTAGTTCTCGTGAACTTTTTTACATTTTGTCTCTTGAAACTAAATGTAAACCTTTGGCCTACATCATACGAAACTCAAAATCCCCTTGTTGAACATGGTGAAGGCAGCATCATGCTGTGGGGATAGTTTTCTTAAACAAGGACAGGGAAGGGGGTCAGAGTTGTTGGATTTATAGATGCAGCTTAACTGGAAGAAAACCAGCAGATTTTACATCGGATCTGACTGAACCTGATTTATTCCTAACACCTGGTTAAAAAAAAAACAAAAAAAAAAAACAATAAAGTGAATTTGTAAGATTTTTTAAACCAGCAATATACATCTCCTTTAAAATGATGCATTGTGTTTAAATCTAAAATAGAAACCAACAAACACGAGGAAGTACTGGATAAAATGTGACAACATATGAAAAAGTATGAATTCTTTAGCAAGGTGCTGCATCTGCTAATCCAGAGCATTTATGGAAAGCCATTGCTGACACAATCTGAAGCAGATATCCAAACTTAAAAATTTCTAAAGCTGTAATATCTTCACGCAGAGTCAGACCTCACCTGAAAGGCAGGAAGCCACCGATGGCCATGTGTACCACGGCGTGTTTGTACCAGGGCTGAGGGGGGATCTGCCGGGGGATGTTACGAGTGCGGCACGGCGCCTGGAAGCTGCCGGCCCGGTTCTTTCCCACAATCCCGCCGATGACGGTGAGGGGGAAGCCAACCAGAACCCAGGCACACAGCAGGAGGAGCACTGTGGTGGCCGGCAGAGCCTGAGTGGAGCCGCTCCACCAGTGGACGGAGTTCACCACGCTCCAGGTGAGGAAAAGGGGAGCTGTGGAAATGTGGGACCCATAGTCAGCAGAACGCATCTACTAACACTTTATGCATCAGTGGAGCTCAACTGAAGCATATCAGAAGGGGAATCCATTAACTTGAACAAAACAATGCAAATTGTAAAAAATATTAACGACTCCTAAACTAATTGGATACATTATTTATGTCCTGATCATTTCTCTTATCTTTCACTAAGTTTGCACATTCCCACTAGATTCAAATATTAAATTGCACCTTGAAAATCTGCTAAATGGATGAAACCTACTCAACCCATAGATTTGCAGCATGCGCAGGAAAACCAAATCCAAGAGGAAGAAGAACAAATATTAACTCCTAACACTGCATTCCGCTGATTTGACACAAACAGGAGGGATTGATGTTTAAAACGTTTGGTCATTAGCATGCTGCTTCGAAAAGTGAGTTTTAAACTTAAAATTTTTTTAATTCAGATCAGAGTCCTCGTATCGGACGTCAGAGTTTTTCTCCGGCTGTTTAGAGCTTAAAATAATGGAGGCTGCTGCTCACTGCTGCTCAGCAGGCTGAAAGAATGTTTCTACAAATTGGATTGTTGGGTAAAAGTAACAGAAAAAAAAACACATTAAAAACACAAAACATCTTGATAGGTAGGTTAAAGGAGCTCAACGCATCACTTCAGAAGTACATTTATTAAGCAGACAATAGCAGCCTAGCTACCCCAGCAAGAAGCCTGACTAATTAAGATAACTCATTTAGGGGCAAAAAAAAAAAAAAAAAAAGGTGTGATTTTCTTTATCTAACATCTGTTTATTTAATAATTGTTGATCAACTATAAAATGCAAAGTAATAAAGGGGTATTTTAATACTCTTTTCATTAAAAGTTCAATTAATTTCCACCTGCAGCACCTAACTTTGATTAAGGGCAATAAATAAACACCAATTCCCTACTGTGACATTTTTGTTTTCTGCAAACGTAGAGCTTTCATAGACCCAAAATCAGCTGAGAAGAAGTTCATCAGTAAAAACCTTTTGAAAGGATCTTTTCCAAACATCTGTGACAGCAGAAAGATCAGCCAAGGCCCAGGACCTTGGAATGCCAGAACAAGCCTTTATGCTGCAGTTTTATTTATCAAATATCGTCCCAGTGCTGTAGTGAAAACCTCAGCATTGCTCTGGATGTTCAGTGCAAACACAGATTGTTTGAGCTCACACACAAGGTTAACAAGACACATGAATAAATCAGCACACTGGAAAAAAAAAATAGAAATTTAAATAAGTTGTTTCTTAAAATAAGTGCATTTTTTTCTTGAATTTAGGAGGTAAGTCTGAAACTTTGCCAATGCAGCAAGATAATTTACACTTAAACTAAGGAAAAACAATTGCATTAAGAGCATATTATCTAATCATCTTATTTTAAGAGTAAAAATACTATTTTCATTGGCAAATCATCTTATTTACGGTACCTACTCAAATTGAGGGTACATACATGCAATGTAAGAGTTTTTTTTAAACTTGTCTAGAAATAAGTAAATTGTAATTGTCTTTCCTTCTTCCCAGCTGAACTATTTGAGTTTGCACAATTTCCTCCATAAAAAATAAGACTTAGAGAGCCATTCTAGTTTAATTGAGCCCGCTAAATGTATAAAAGTTGCCTATATTTAAAACGCTCTCGCTTGTTTGGATCTTATCTTATGTTTACATTCATTAAATTAGAGATTTAAGACAGAACAGACTGTTTAGCTTCTGCTTCTTAAAACATCACCTGAGAAAAGAGAGGAGGTGAGGATGATGTTCCACACCCAGCGCTGCCCGTTGATCTGCGTGTAGAAGCTGCAGGAGACGTAGCCCGACACGCAGCTGGTCAGAGCGTACAGGACGATGGCGGCCGAGTTGATGGCCCCGTGTCGGTGGACATTGAACATTCCCAGCAACGCCATGAGGATGATGGCTGAGGTAACAAGAGAGGCGAAATGATTTCCACTCCAGCAAAACATTGAAGATGGGCTTCTCATTGACTTAGATTTTTTTTTTTTGTTTCTACAAATTGTTGCTAAAAGTTTGAAGCCACTCTGCTTCTGAACAGTGATGGTTTCCATGGGAATTAGCCATTTGTTTGAATGTTTACGTCTAAGCGACTCCGATGGCTTACCAGTGGCCAGCGTCAGGAACTGAGCTCCAACGCCCAGAACGGCACACAGCAGGCTCTTAAAGGGCGGGAACCTGAAAACATCTGTATGGATGATTTTCCAGCCGTTGTCTCCTTGGTCCAAATCATCACAGCCGCCCTCCTCTTCCACATTGTACCTGAAAAACGACAGACCGGGCTTTTTAAACACCTCACCCGCCAGTTATTCCTCTGTATACTTTAACATTTAGCTTTCCTTAATTAGTAAAACTCCAGTCCTTCAGTCAGAAAGCACAACTCATTTAAGCCATCCATGTTTTGGTAGCCATTTAAAACCTTGTGAGGAGTTTGCAAATACATTGTTTCTACAGGACTGGAACGGAATATTGATAGGATACCAGTAGATAGCTTTATATAG